AGACCTACTTTTCCCCCTCCCTCCCATCATATTTCTCTCTGTCTCTTCTCTAACTGATTTCTGGAGGGACTTATGGAGTTTGGGTGTGGCGCTCTCTCTGGAATAGAGGTTGAGCTTCACTGTCCACAGATGAAAGATATAACCACAAGCCGTACCAATAGTGGTAAAATGCTCCCTTGCGACTTTAACTCGAAATTACTCTGCACTTTTATTTGATAATAAAAAACAAACACAATCTTGCTGGAGCCAGGGCATTCTCAGTCTATTTGTTTTTGATGATTGGAGTCTGTTACCCTGATGAGGACAAGTCATGATAAAAATCATAATTATTAATGGAGGGGGTCTGCATCATTGATTAGATTCTGATGTAAAAGGTAGAACGATACCTGAGAGACACATTGATACCTTTCAGTATAGCTGCTACGGCGAATCCCCTTCCACGCATTACTGTCTGTTTTGTTTTACTGTGTTTTTTCTTTGTTTTCTCCAGAGTGTAGACATTTTCCTTCCTCACGCCCCAGCTGATCTGGTTGGATTGCACTGGAGGGAAAAATAAGTAGAGAGTCCAAAATCCAGACGCTTTGCGCTGGATCCTGTGCTGCGCTTGGAGTGCAGTCAAAGCGCTGTTAGCATAGCTGAGACACATCAACATATGCTACGGGGTTCTGTTTGCAGGAAATTTTGGGCAGTAGTGAACAGATGACTGAATGTGTGAGCATGTGTGTGTGTATTTGTACATGTACGGGGAGCGTGTAAATGTGTGCAGCACACAGTCTGTATAGTTTGTGTGTTTAATGGAGCGAGACCAGCACACTGGTGCTGGTGGTGGGGGGGTGAATGTTATGAGGCCTTTCTTGGGTAAAGATTCCCTATGTGATAGCGACGGCACTTTCTTCCTCTCTTTCCACGGCCAAGCGGCATCTGGAGTGGATTTTGTGCGAGCAGACACCGAAGAACATGATTACATTCAGTTAACTGTGCTCTAAACTGATTATGCATGTGCCAAGCTAATGGACTACATTTGCAAGAGGAAAAATAACATCCAATCAATCTCAATTACCCCAGATTGTACCGGCCCCTGAGACAAGGATGGTAGCCAGTCCGAAGCTCCTCCTCTTAGCTTGAAAGTCCTGCCTGGAAGACCTGCCTCTCTCTATCCTGTCTGGAGCAGAGAACCAAGTCTCAGACTCAAGGCTGGCTTGAGTGCAGCCCAGCACCTGAGACATGCTTACTCAGCATGAACAAGAACTCAAATATCAAGTGAATGTGTCCCCTACAGAGTGGTGGTGTATACTTGTGTATATAAAAGTGGTGCAAGAGAAAATTGAAGGAAGAGTAATCATGCAGTATATGGATACTTAAAATCATCATGGAAAGGCATTTGCAACTCATGGAAGTAAAATTAGCAAAAAATGTAGGGCAGAACTCAAGGTGACTTGGGGGAGTGGGGTTGCAAAATAAGAGGGTTTGTTAATGTTAGCCAAAAAAGGAAAGTCGCAAAAAGCAATTACATTTTCATGAAAGATTACAAAGATATTTTTTTAATTGGAATAATGTGCACAGATCACGAAAAATGAAAGCGATTAGGGTTGTTCTCGATTTCTTGTGCACTTTCTCTGACTCTGAAAATTGAAGGTTCCACCAACAATTCAGAACTTGAGAAGCCTAAGCTTTGTCTTGACCTGGGTATCGTTGTACAGCCCATCTGCAAGTGCTTATGGGTGACTATCATGACATCATTCTCGCCACAAAGCAGCCAGCGAGCGGGAACTTGGAGGGAGCAGTAGAAGGTAAAAGTTCTTCTGAGATGAGTGCAAGACTGACTGACGGGTGTATCTGAAACCAGAGAGGAACTCGGTCCTGTACCCCAGATACCAAAGTCGGGAAGCATCACCCCTGCTGTGCAGTGGTCTATGCAGTTAGAACAATTCTCCCAAGCTCTCCAAAGGCTTTCGGAACATTCCAATCCGTGGGGTTGTGGGGGAAGGTGTATTTTTAGAAAGCCCTAATATGTGCCGCATACCACAGACTCTCAAATTATCCCATCCAGCTTAGCCTTCAGTTTAAACCTTTCTTTTTAATTCCAGTAATTACAGGCTCCAATTTACGGAGCTGTGCACACAAAGGGCCTGTTTAATGCAAACCAGTTTGATTTGGGCAAAGTGTCCCAAGGATCTACCACATCTTAGAGCTTGTTTATGCTGACTTGATGATTTATTTTCTCCCAGCAGGAGGTCGAAAAATTTTGCATTTTGTATCAGATTTCATTTGGAGGGAATAAATAGTGTGTTTTTCATTTTCCTTTCCTGTTTTACCACTTGTACAGTCAGCTTAGCTGAGCTAGCAAATCATACTGTTGGTGTCAGCCAGTCAGTATGTCTATCAGGGCTATAAATTCACTGCAAAGTGAAGCCTGTGTTATTGTGGGGTTAGAAACCCATGCTACAGCAAGACCTCAGTAGCATGTGCTTATCGTCCTCTAATCACATTTGTATGTCATGAAATACAGCTATAACTCAAACTGTGAATGTCTTAGTTTTGCGGGTAGGCCTGTCGCCACTGATGGAAGCTGCTTGCTTACAAGGTTGATGCTGTTGTCAGTCAACTCTTCTCTCTTCCTCTGTTCTGATCTGTGGGGCTTTTAGGGCTGAGGAACCATTTTAAGCAGCTTAAAGCTTACAAATTATCATGCTTGGATGTGTCGAATCATACTGTTGGTGTCAGCCAGTCAGTATGTCTATCAGGGCTATAAATTCACTGCAAAGTGAAGCCTGTGTTATTGTGGGGTTAGAAACCCATGCTACAGCAAGACCTCAGTAGCATGTGCTTATCGTCCTCTAATCACATTTGTATGTCATGAAATACAGCTATAACTCAAACTGTGAATGTCTTAGTTTTGCGGGTAGGCCTGTCGCCACTGATGGAAGCTGCTTGCTTACAAGGTTGATGCTGTTGTCAGTCAACTCTTCTCTCTTCCTCTGTTCTGATCTGTGGGGCTTTTAGGGCTGAGGAACCATTTTAAGCAGCTTAAAGCTTACAAATTATCATGCTTGGATGTGTCGAACATTTCTAATCTGCCACAGAGTACTGAACATTCGCAGTTAGGCAGACTAGTCTCTTCTCTGCAAGCTCTCTTTCTTTTCAGGGAACGTCGGCAGTGGAAGGAATATTATAGTGCTTCTAAAACATGTTGGTGCTAACAGTATAGACATCATTAATGTAAGTATGAGGTGGATGCTGGAATTTCCCAGAAAAAAACAAACAAACAAACAAACAAAAAACTGATCCATACAGCAAGATTAATTGCATTTGGTGGCTAGATAAGATATTTTCTGCTATTTCTTGCCATTGATGCTAAAATTCCTGGTTTCTTGGGTTTCAAACCCTGCTTGGAGCTACATGAGGCCCATGACTACATCAATTCCTCCATGGGTCAGCCATGCACGTTAAGAGTCTTGTGTTACATATTTGAATCATTGTGGTATTTGTAAATACGCTCATTGCATGTTCCAGCTTGAGTATGGCAGACAATTTCGGCTCAGGCTTGTCTGCTTTTATCACCAGATGCAGTGGATGCTGGTTTATGGCCTTCCCCTAATCACCATTACAAACTAGTTCATCAGGGGAACAAGACCAAGAGTCTCTCAGCCCAGACCCAGGGTAATGACCAACCTTGACAATGCTAGAATATCTCTGATTGTAAAGGGTTCATAAACGGGAAACCTGCAATGAAGTCAATGGTGAACTGGACTTAAGTCTTGGTAAATTTATATCAAAATGTAACAACATAGCTCTGCCTCCTTTTCAGCTGCCCTCACTTAGGTGGTGCTGGCAGGGAAAGCAATGTCAACCAAAAGCCAAATAGCTATTAAGCCATTGTTTTAGGCTACGTTTGGTAAGGTTAATAGCCAATGATGTCTGGCCCTACCGGTTTTTTTTTTCTCTTTAAATATTCAGTTTCACTCTGAAGTATGTTAGAGTAGGTTGCAAATGCATGTTGTCTTCAAAGATCCCTGAATAAAATGCAATAAAATGTATTGTATATTTTTGTTCACTCTCAAAGGTTTAACACTTGAGAAAGGAGTGTAAATAAAGGTCAAGTAAGCATGGGCAGTGATTTACAGCTGAAATGGGTGGTATGTGAGTCAGTAACTCATTGAGCATGTGAGAACAAGCGACAGAGAGAAAGAAAGGGAGAATTAAGGAGAGAAGTCCCTGTGTGCAGTCGTGCCAGTCTAAGTTAAACACAGCCTGAGCTAGGCTCGCAGAAACACAGGATAGGTGCCTAAATGGAATCAGGCCTGCTAGATTTATGGGCATTTGTTCAGAGAGTGTTCATCCATTGGCTATTATGGAATGATTAGAGTAGAAGGTGAAGCTCCAAGTCCGGTGAAAATCAATACGGCTGTCGAGAGCGATTCTGCCCTTCCCACTCCGAAAGGTATTAGCATCAAACCTCTGTCTCTTCACACTTCTTCATCCTCTCTTTCAGCAATTTCATCAGCTGCCCTTCTCCCCACCCTGCTGACCTGCCATGTTCCTCCCTCCCTCTAAGTGTCCGTGTTCTCCCCTCTCCATTGCATGCGCATTAGACCTTAACATACTGCACCGGGCCATCACTCATAGTTGGCCGTAGAGATGGAAAGTGCTGGTCGATTCAGTCGTACAGTAGGCTGGATGTGTGTTTAAAACTCGTAGAAAGTCTAACACTGTGTCCTAACCAGAAAGATGCTACCCTGTCTCTTCCAAGTTGATTGGAGTTTCTGTCCTAACCTCCCTTGACAAGCTATAAGGCATTTTGTTGTAGTGATGTACTGGGTAGCTCTGCCCAAAGTGAAATCTTGTTGGTTCAAAACTTCCCTTTTCCTTAATTTATATAAAAAAAAATTCTGAGATTGCTGAACAGAATTTTTGCTTTAAGTGTAGACAGAAAAATTACTTGAGGCTGGATTACTTGTCACATGGCACTTGGTTAGGGTAGGACCACCAGAGTCACTCACCTTGTACAGCTTGAGACTGGCCTCATGGCGGGAGTTGACCGTGTGCATCCTCAGTTTTTCCAGGCTGTTGGTATAGTAGTCACAGGCATTGCATTTGAGGTGCACAGGGTTGCCAATGGCCACGCACTTGAGGCGCCACTCATTGCCCTTGCCGCCCTCCTTAATGTGTGCCACCAGCTGATACTTCTGCACATGTTTGTCAGTCTTGCAATGCAGCTGAAAGTTGGCCTTGAGCTGTGTGGTGTAGTGGCACAGCTTGCACTGGTGCGAGTCGCCCACCACCGCTCTCCACTCCTCCTCTGGGAGCAAACGCTCGGCACTCATGTGCAGGCCAAGCACTTCCAGGTTGTCGGTAGTGAAGCGGTTGCACACAGCGCACTGGAAGAGTTTGAGGGAGGGGTCGCTGGTCTGGGATAGGCTTTCACCCAAGGTCATCAGCTCCTCTGAGACCAGCTGTCCCCCACCCAGGCGTACATCCATTGCAATGTCCCCTCCAACTGAGAACAGAAGACACAAAAGTGATCACTGATCTGTCAGACAGAATATTGATCTTTCACAAGTACACTGTCTCTTTTCAAATACAGCATTTAGCACTACTTTTAATTTTCCATTAATTTTCATCTGAGGCAATAAGGGACATATGGACACATGGTCCAATACAATGTAACAGTGAGGGTTGGGCATTTCATCTGTGCTGATTTTCCCTCCCTCATTAAAACTTCCTCAAATTACAAGAATGTCCTGGGAAACAGGGAAAAGGTGCATAGTTCAGCCTTTTAACAAAGAGTCATGTTTGTCTGTGCAGTCAAAGTGAATTTGTTCTCCAGGATAATGTGCAAGTGTGTATTTATCTACATAATTTTATTAAATCAAGATTATAATTTCCTTTGAGCTCAGAGCAAGAGTAAGAAGAGAGAGAGAGAGAGGTGTGGATTTACACAGTCCTGCACTTTCATAGCCCTGCCATTAAATCAACTCCAGAGGCTGTGAGCAGAGGCACAAAAATAAAGTTATTCAATCATTACCGGAGATCTAAAGAGTGCTCAGGCTACATTACTGTAAATCAACTACAAGCATCTTTTCACAAAAAAAAATTATAAAAAATATAATATAAAAAATTAGATCTTCCTTCTTGAAGTCTTGGTCTTTCACCTCTGATTGGGAACTAATCGATCCTCCTGCTCGAAGTGTTTGAATTAAACATTTTTTTTTTATTAATGTATTTTTAAGGAATGAAAAGAAGGTGTGGGAGCCAAAGAAACTATAAATTCAACAACAGAAGCACAAGGTCTCAAAGAACAGCTTGAGGAAGACGCTAGAGGCTGAGATTTGGAGACGAGGGATGCATAGAAGCTGTTGCCTCAGTTCGCTGATCTTCAATCTGTCACTGCCCAGATTGAGAGCACCCAGTAAACCAGTATGGCTTTACACTAAATTAATTCCAACAGCTCCTTTTTATTTATTGGGGCAGCATGCAGCCTGCTCGTTTCACCATTACCTTCAGCTTTTAGTGCAGGGTTAGAGAGACCTCTGACAATCTCCTTCAAATCATTGTAATATCCACCACTCTGAGGAAAACTATTTCTATTTATAATGCTTTCTCTTCATTTTAATCTCTTAATTTTATAAAATTCCTCCTTTTTCCTTTTCCCTTATCAACTGTTTTCAGGCTTTTTATGCCTCTTGTTGCCCTTGTCTTTTCAGGTTTGTTAAACTTCTCTTTAGTACTCTTACAATGTGCATCGATTAACAAAGTCATTTTCTTTTCTTTCCATAAACCTCTCATGTAAACACTTTTAAATCTGTAGGTTAAGTTCAGTATTCATGACCTCTTAAGCATGTCTCGTAAGAACATAATTTGAATATTTAGCTTTTGTCAGTCGATATCAATGTTTAAGTAGTGTAAACATTTTTTTTATAATGGACGCATTATGAAAAACACTGGAGGCATTAATCTGAAAGGTTTTACAAATTGTACTTTATAAAAAACAAAAACAAAATGAATTTATATTATGATGACCGGAGTCCAGAGGTCTAATTTGTCACTTATATGCAAATACCTAAATCTGATAGCTTGTTGTGTGAGACTTTAAACATATGAAAGTGCACTGAACATTCCAGATTGTTTGTGTAATGACTCCACTCTTCTTTATAAGTCTTATGCCTGTCATTTCTTCCCTGTAATATGTTTATTGAACATTTCCTCACCGGAAAACCAACCAAATGGCTAGAAGAGGGAGGATTTTAAAAAAAAAGAAAAAAGAATTAGTCACAGCAATCAATTCCTGTTTGTGTCTTTGAACTGGCAACAGTTTGAAACAAGTCTGTGCAAATTGTGGGCTTATAACTGGCATGACAAATTCTCTACTATGCTGCTGAATTACCCTCACTAGGCCCCTTTTCCTTCCTTTTTTGACTATGGTAAAGTATATAGCTGCAATTACAAAAGCAGGAAACAAGGACAAGCTGGTATGCAGTGGTAGTTGCATAGTATTGACATGAAAACAGTGATGTTTAGTATGAGCCAAGAGGACAGGGCCATGTGGAACACTCCCCTGGCCCCAGTCTACTCCGTCACACTATCTTTCACAAGAAACACAGGGGCAGCAAAAGGGGGGATTTCCCAGCTAATCTGACCCAGATAGAATGACACATAAGGATGCGAAAAATAAACCGAAGCTTGAGTGTTAAGAAGATGTGTGTGCCTGTCTTTCCTACTCGCTCACTCCCTCTTTTTCTCTGTGTGCCAGTGTCTGAGTTTCAGAAGCTGAAATCTCCAAGACTAGTAAGCACTACGTGAATATGCTAAAACTACATTCCCCTAAACCTATTGTACCAGCTATGTTTTTTTTTTTTTTTTTTAATGTGTCAGCCTTGATACAAACACATATAGTCAAACTATTTTTCTTGTTTCAGGCATTGAACCAAGCATGATATCTACATTAAAGAATCATGTCTTTATTTCAAGAAAGCTACATACTGAACATGTTGCCACAGATTTTTTTTTCTTTATGCTGTAAATCAGGTTAAATACCTGTCACTCAAGTCAATTCAAGACTGAAGAGTGCACCTTTCATAAAGCATGTTGACTTCTCCCCCCACTCCACACATGTTGCTTTCTATACATTTAGGTAAGTGGCCTTTATCTCTCTGCATACTGACACTCGCTTCCCTTCAAATACATTTCAACCTTGCATGTGCCTATTTCTCTCTCCCTCACTCACCTTTTTCAAAGTTGTTTAAGAGAGTGAGTGAATGTTAAACAAGGAAGGTGTGCCTGAAGGCTATAGGCACAGACAGAGCTGTCAGCATGGGGAAATACAGTGTTTGTAGCATGTGTTAGTATGGGTGGAGATAATAATGTTAGCAAGAGGGGGGGGACTAAAATATAACATAGAATTTAAAAAAATAATCTATCACCCGTACAAGATAAAAAGTCAAATAGTTTAACAGGAATGGCATGGTTTAAATAAACATGAAAGGGTCTTATATGTCTTTAAGAAATTACAGATGAATAGTTAAACACAGAGACAGTGCTCAAAACCCACATGAACTGCCATATGTGTTATCTGTAACTCATTAAACTCACCTAGTGCTGGGGCCAGAGCCGCCATGTTGGGGTCCAGATGAAAACTTCCAAGCAAGAACTGGGCATCAGCTCCAGATGGGTCCATCTTAAGGCCCGGTGGTAGGCTCATGTTTTGGGTCAAGTAGTATTGGTACAGCTCAGCCTCTGAGGGTGAAGGCATGGCACCTAGACCAAGCCGGCCATGCTGCATTTGGGTCATGTTCTGCTGAAGCAGCATCATGTTGTGCATGTGTTTCTCGCTTGTCATGTGGATGCGCAGGTTACGTGCTACATTGGTCTCATAGTCGCACACCTCACACCGCCAGGTGGGCTTGCTTTTTGGCTTGGTAGGTGAAGGGGCACCACAGGGCCCTGCCATGTGGGTGGAGGACTGCACTGGATGATGGTGGTGACTAGGATGATGGCTGCTGGCCTGGATAGCAGAAGAAACAGGTACCACCCCTCCAGGTGCATGCCCAAACACCTGTTCACCAGCGGTTGGAATAGTTCCTCCATTTTGTAATGTCTGCATGTTGTTAAGATGCTTGTCAGACTGCATATGAATGCTTAGGTTGCCTTTGGTAGTAGTGGAATAGTTGCAGACCTCACAGCGGAAGGGCTTGTAGCCACATGTGTAGCTCTCCCCACGGGCAAGGCGAGGGTGACTCTGTCCACTGGTGCAGTACGCACAGGAGCTTCCAGAGTCAGGGTGCTTCTCCTTCATGTGGGCCTCCAAGGTCTGCTGGTATTTGTAGTGCCAGTTGCACTTGGGACACTTCAGTGTCTTGCACGAATTCCGTGAGTGCATCATGGTCATATGGCCACCCAGTGAACGAGAGGAGCCTAGGACAGTATCACACTTCGGGCACTCCACCCCACTCCCTCCACTGCCCCCAGCCCCATGGTTCTGGGTGCATTCACTCATTCCTGACATGTCACAAGCAGCTGTGTGATGGAGGTGCGTGTGAGCATTAGGTGAAGGGTGTGGGTGATGCTGGTGAAAGTGGTGGTGGTGGTGGAAGAGGGCACCGTTGTCCTCATCTCCCTCTGCTGGGCATTCATTTGGTTCAGGAGCTGTGGCACTATCTCGATTGGCACTTTCCTCAGCAGCAGCATTGGACGCAAGGGGGGAGGACGTGCTCTCAGAGGAACATGCGGCCCCATCCTCTTCGCCCCCTCTGCCGGCGACTGCCGCCATTGCCGCGGGGACTGTAGACCCTTGGCAGTTAAAGCTCAGAGAGAGATCTGAAGTTCTCCCTCCACTGTCTGCAGCCATCCAATCCTCTGACCCTCTGACAGAAGAGGAGGACATGGAAGCAGAGGCTTTGCTGCTGAGTGCAGGGCTGGCTGCAGAGAGACAAGCAGAAGGCTGGAGAGTGCTACTAGGCATTAATAAAGGAGATTTGGAGATGCTTTGGTTTGCGACAGCCAGTTCCCCCACAAATCCGCCACCGCTGCTGCTATTTCCACTACAGGCCACCGCAGTGATTTCATCCTCTACCTCTTCATCCTCTTCTTCTAAAAGAAGCTCATCCTCTTCCTCTGAGGCCATCTCCTCACCGTGAAGGAGAGCCTTTCTTTCACAGGTTTCTGCATCCCCATCCTCCCCTCTATGAGTCCCCTCCTTCACCACAGACCCCTCTGTTCTCCTACCCTGCTTGGACAGAGTGTTGGAGTCTTTGGCTGGGCCTGGGGTAGAGGTACGGGAGGTTTTGGGGCTGCCAAAACCCCCCAGCCTGAGGAGGGCTTGTTGCTGGAGACCCGAGTCAGAGTCTTTTTTGAGGAGGTTATCACCTACCTCACTACTGCTGCCCCCTTCTAAATGAACCCCACTGAATGTGCCGTAGAAGCTCTGGCCTGAGTTCATGGGTACCAGGGTTGGCAGTGGAGGAGAGTTTTTATTTTTTGGTTCTAGGAAGCTAATGAGTGGTTCTTTGTCTTTCCCAATGCCCTGTATAATCGCCGATGCATGCTTGTGGCCTAAGAGCCTGCGCTCGTCCTCACATAGGGTCATGCGATGGTCATGGACTGCATGAGTGACAAAGGAGCGTGCGTAGCCGAAAGACAACTTGCAGAGGAAACACATGAGGATGGGCTTGCCTTTGCCATAAAGGGCCAGGCCATCAAATTTGGAGAAATCCACGTTGTTGGGAACATCTTTGGATACACAGGACTTCTTGGCAGACCCGTCGCTGTTCAGGTAATCCTTGTTGCTTTTGTGCCGCACATCAAAGACGCGGAAACTGTGCAGGACAGGACTGAGGCCTGCCAGGGTTGAGGTATTGGGGAAACCTTGGTCTGAGGAGCCGAACCATTTTCCGAAAGACGAGGCTATATGAAACGTGTTGATGATCTGAGGGTACACCGAAGAAGAGGTCCCCGCAGGTTCCCCTGGTTTTCCCCCACTGGGGAGAGAGTTTGAAGGGAGCAGGCCTGGTTCCATGCTCCCATCGCTTTGGATAAGCTGGCTGAGACTCTCCACAATGTAGGCAGAGCCATCAGGCTGGTATACTATCTCTCCAGCCAGGTTTTCCACATCACTACTCTCCTCTTCCTCCTCTTCTTCGCTCCCACTCTCAGTGGCTCCCCTCCGATGGGAGGGCTGTTGCCGCATGAGCATGGGCATGCCCCCTCCACTTGGCATCATAGGCACACCAGGGAAGGGCTGCAGACTAGGAAAACAGCTATCAATCTCCATTTCATCCAATTCTTCCAAGTCTTCGTCCTCTTCTCCACAGCTCACTCCCTCCTGCTCCTCCTCCTCTAACCCCTCTCTTTTGGGGTGCAGCCGTCTGGTAGTGGAATTATCGCTGGCAGCCTGTGACAGTGTTTGCTGTTGCTGTTCTCTTACAACCTCACAGGTTGTGCTAGGATTCTGGAGCTGGGCTGAGTGGGGTGCAGAGAGAGACAGGGGCTCCAAGGAAGGGGACTGGTTACAAGGTGGGACCTGTGCGTTAGGGTGATCGTTCCAGGGTTGTGGATGGTGCTGCTGCTGGGATGTGGTGGAGGAGCCAAGCCCATCGTCTGTCCCCGAAACCACGGGAGACTCACAGCTTTCCATGCTGATGCCTACATGAGGCGTTCATCGCATCCAGGCCTGATGAGAAAAAGAGAGAGAGAGACAGGTGTAAACTACTGCTTGAAATGTACAATGCCTTGTGAAGTCTTGTGAAACTGATTTTTTTAGTCTTGTGAAGCTGAACATTCAACCAGACATACAAAGCGTCTTGATAAATGGTGAAGCTATGTACACATACACTGAGTGGGGAGCAGCTTAATGTATAGTAAATTAGATGAGAAACAAAAGTCTGAGATATAATGGTGGAAAATGACAAAGTGCTCATTAGGTTAGATAAGGTATTTAAACACAATACCTCAGACAAGCACTAATAAGGCAGCTCAGATGCCTCATCCTGTCATATCAGCCAGTTACCATCTTTTATCTAGACCTTCCACACAACACCCGGAGTCTTCTATGTTCCAAATCCTGCATACATTTTTTTTAATTAACGTTGAGTATGAGAAACACAGTAACAGAATAACTTAATGGATAAAAAAGCTCCATTGTGCTGCTAATTAGACACAGTGAAACCCACCATCAGCACATGATCCATCTCACACCCGAAGAAATAACTGAAGGTTACAAAAATATATTAGCCATGCTGTTTTAAGACCTCCATTATAGAAAGATCCCACACACAGAACACACTGCATGAATAGATCATGCCCATATGATGCATTTAGAAGATGTGTACATGCTTTTTACAGCAAGCATTTATATTTATGTATATAAATACACACAACAAAGAAATAAAGATTTGTTTATATTATTTTTTAAGCTTAAAATACAACTGCAATGTTGGTACTTCAAATGATGTACGTATAGATCTAGCATCCAATAATATGCACGTTTAGCCTGGTTTTAAACAGTCCTCTGCCTCTGAAATAATAAATGAGAGCGAACTTTCCAAAGGGGAGTGCTGCCCTGAGCAACGAAAGAGCCATGAGCAGGCCACAATTTCAAGCAGGCGATAAAGGAGATAAAATGATAGCAAGAGATACTGCTGAGCTAATAATTTTAATAAAGGTATGCAGGCAGCATTGATTAAAGAGGGCAACCGGACTGAAACCAATAACTCTGGCCTGCCCTTTCACCCTCCATTGCTGAATATTACATGAGCAAAGTTTCCCGGCAGCACGCTAACCACCGCATCCTGCCTGATTAGCACATTGACTGTCTCTACTTGATTTATTTACTTACTTACTTAGGGATGCAAATTTCAGCAGTGATCAGACACTGTGTCTGCAGCCCCACCCCCACCAAATGTATTAACATGAGTGTGTTTGGCTGGGGAGATTGATAATGTTTGACTCCCTCTTCATGAATGTCTGATGAAAATTTGACACCCCTCAAGTCCTGCCCACAAAGCCACCCGCTCCCTCCCCCACCCATGTCAAACAATGCCCATGTTTTTATTTTGTGTGTGTATTTTGCTAATTTGTTAATTATGTTGGTTTAATTCAATATAATTAAGTGTTACACTATTATGAAGTCATTTAGCAACAATATGTTTAAATTCAACAACTGACAGAAGTCCAAAAATAACATTCCAGTAACCTGTTCCTATTATGCCCCCCTCAACGCTGCTGCAGCATTATGGGATTGTGTGTAATAGATAGAGCAAAGAACTACTTAAATTGTTAAACATAAACAGCTAAAGGATTATGACTCAGGCAATCACAAATGGTCATTCCTGAAAATCTGCAATGATATGCTTTTAATTTAAAGCAAATGAGATGGTTTCCTTTAAAGAATTAAACAGTGCTAGAGAGTGGCGGCCCAAGCCGTCTGGGCGCGTCTGCTTACAGAAAACAGGATTGCCCTTTAAAATGGAGATGGTCTAATTCAATAACCTGCAGTGGTTACTGATGTGCAATAGGATTGTCTGGAGTCTGCCAGTCGCAGATGGGCGGGCAGATATAATGAAGTTTGTCCGCTCAAGGTCTGCTTCCAAAGCAACACCTCTTTAAAGAATCTTTAAATCTCTCTCCTAACCTAACGAAAGCTCAGACAGAGAAGCAGAAGCATACAGGAAATGCATATTAGGCATTTCTCTCACCTTATACAAGCACCTTCTGCCAGTCAAACACTCCATAAAAACAAGTATAAAACATCATTGTTTCCTTTATATCCTACACATTCTGTCATCAAGGGCTCATCTTCACTAAACAATCTGCACTTCATGCACAATCATGAAGTTGTGAGGCAGGAATTCCAGGGTTTCTTAGAGGAACACAGAAACTCTTCTAAACTCAAATTAAGCAGAATAGAAAACATTCCCTCTTAACCTGCCAAACAAAGTACATAAGGTTTTTAACGAATTTAAAAAAAAGCACAGTACATAATGAAAACTGTCAGAAGCTGGGTCTGGATGTCATTTAGAGGGGACAGAAAATGAGATAAGTTTTTATTTATGAGCCTTTTTATTTGGTGGGATTTACTGGCTGAGCAAGGATGGAATTAAAGGATAAGGACCCGTCTGATTATAAGCACGCACAATCACCTGCCCAGGGGCCAGGCCTCCAGAGGCCCAGCGCTCCTGACCCTCTCCTGGGGAATTAACTCCTGCTCGGCCCCAGCTGAGAACCGCCACGGGGTGCGGCCTGACCCCCACGCCCCACCCCCAGCACCCCTCAATATGTAAAGAACGTATCCTTCCAGAGACTATCAGAGGAACAAAAAAGCTTCATCATCACCTCCCTGTGGTCTGCAGCAAGCCCCGCTTTTCTTTTCCCATCTCCCACCAGATCTAGCCATCACACAGGCTGGCCACTACAGGGTTAGGGTGCTTATTGAAAAATCAATGGCATAAATGCTAGGCAAGTTACAGGAAGATGTGGGAAGGGAAGGTTCCTATTGATAAAGCAGGGAGGGCCTCCTGATATTGCACAAAGGGTGTATGTGAATGTATTCACTGAAGCTGGGTGAGAAGGCTTCATCTTTGAAGAATACGCCAACTAAATCGCATATATATGTGGAGAAACTGTTCACCACACTGCTGCATTATCAATCTTAATGCTAAAATGCCTGAGTTTTGCCTAGTTGAAAATAAAACAAAAACTACAACTAAAACATACGTGAGCTGACAGAATATTTGTGTCAGTCTGCACATGACGTAGCTGAATACATGAGCAAAACACATACAGTATTTATGTATGTAAGGACAATGAGGAAGATTTCTGCAGCAGTGCTCTTTATTCATATTTGTTTTCATAACATAACATCGTCTTATTCTCCTCCCATCATATCTCTCATCCAATCAAAGAAGCCAACAGTCAATATAGTTATTCAGTAAAAAAAAACAAAAAAAACATCTAAACATAATAAAAATTATTATATCTCAAAATACTCTAAATAATTATAACTCTAAACTCTAAATAATTATAAATATAATTAAATAAATGTTATATATTTTTTGTTGACAACATGTTGATTGTTGTTTACAATATAATATAATATAATATAATATAATATAATATAATATATTTAGAGGGGATGTTGGGGTACACATGCTAAAAAGGTTGATAAAAACAACTATGTGCACCAAATAAGAATAAGTAACTTCTATAGACAATTATAAAATAAATAAATAAAATAATAATAGTAATAATAATAATAATAATATTTATTATTATTATTATTATATAAAAATGTCTAATTTCCTAAATGATTAATGACATCAGTGACAGAATGTCACGACTCTTATATAATTCAAAAGCACTTCTGCAGAAGTTCCACACTGGGTATTTTGAGTCAGCACCATTTATTCAATTTCAGCTTTATTAGTGAGCAAAGGTAAACAGAGTGGACTGAAAAATTCCTCCACCTCCTTTTCCTCGTCCTGAACGTTTAATGTAGACACAGCGACACTTCAGAGGAGTTGCTGTATCAGAAGGCAAAAAGTCACCTCAGGTCGATGGCACTCTGGCTGTAAACACTGCTTCCCGTAAAATCAATGATCTTTACTTCAAGCTATCAGTCTGTGCAACAGAAATAGCAGCGGCTGTGATGAGACTGAGGCTGTGGAGAGAGGGAGAAGAAGCGATAGAGAGAGAAAGAGAGATCAGTGCAACGTGGCTGTGGGCAAGGGATGAGAGAGCACAGCTATCTGCTGCTACTGTGCACAGCTCTACTGCCAAGCTCAGCACTGTACACGGGACTAAACGCTGGTTCCCAGCATGCATCTCTCCCAGAGCCACAGCCATTAGTGAGTGAGGCCCAAGCGCTCTACCTGCACGCTGACACTAGTTAATAGATTATGTTTGTTGTGGAAATGGGAGGTACTCCTCTGTGACTTTATGTAACAGTAAACATCTGCAAACTCATCTGTTACTAATTGGTCTCTGGCCTGAACACAAACGAATTGATTCCGAGGTATCAATAGCGTTCTCTGTTCTAGGGAATGAAACTGAATCTTGGTGATAATTTTTGCTCTCGGGTTACAGCATAAGATCTGTAAACGCAATCAATGTAGCAAAACAAAGGGAGCATAAAAATGTTTTCCTGACAAAGCGTGTGATGCAACGTCAGGCTGCTTTTAGCGCCATTTATTCAGCCGATGAAATCTGGAGCGGGTTTAAAGGCAGCTGAAGGGGAATCCGTGCGCTGGCAAAGTGTCTCATCACTTTTGGTGAGTGCGAAAGAAACAGGCTTCTCGGTGTAATTAGAAGTGGTTAATTAGCTGTGAGTTAATTACTCAGTTCGGAGGGGAAAGCTGGCAAAAAGAGCTGGTGGGGTGGTAGAGCAAGGGGAAAGTGGCAAACACGCAGCAGGAAGCTCCCAGTCTCCTGCCAATTAGCAGGCAGCATGGGGGGGCTGGCGGAGGAATGGTGCCCGAGTACAAATGAGCTTCACACCAGCCCACTTGCAGCCACAGAGCTAATATCAAACTCAACATATCCACATTCCCCTATTAAAAATGCATACTGTTGGAGATTCTCCGCTCTCTGTTGTTTTTGGTAAGCGCTTCCATTTGCCCAGCAGCCACACATTTCTTCTCGACATCATATGCAAAAAAATTAAATAAAATCTTTTTT